CATAAGCAAAATTTATACAAATTTACTTTCATATATCTCCAAGGCAACTGTGAAAATATTGATTTTATTATATATAAATTGTCGGTTATGCCTGTGGCAAAAAAAAAGAAAAATCTAGAAAAAAAGAATGATATAATAAAGTTAGAAAAGGGAAGTAAGGAGAATTGCTAAAAACACCAAAGGTTGTTGTAATGAAGTCTAAAAAGAGTTATATTTAAAGCTTATAATACATGGGCTTTAGGAATGACATCATCAACTCGAGTTAAAATCAGAAATGTCCTGAATATTTGCATACAAGAGTAAACAGAAAATAGTTACTAGCTGTGTACTGTCGTAGCAATGTGAAATCTGTTTACAAACATCTGGTTAAAACCAGAGATTGGGTAGATCCTGAAAGTTTCTAAGAAATAATGAATTGCACATGGGAATTAATAACACAGAATCCATAATTTCTCGTTTATGGTGTATAAAATAGCATTGGTGTCTGTTTTTGTTGTTTTTGTTGCCATTAATTTATTTCAGGAAGGCTAAAAAATTAATTATTGTCATATACTTTCTTGGTCTTTCAAACCTATTTTTTGCATAAGAACTTAGGTTTTTCAATGTCAAAATAATGGCATTATTCAAGAACTTTATCTTTTGAAGTGATGACAGATATAGTATATCTATGTCACATGTTCTGTAAATGAATATTTTTAGAATCTTTACAAGATACCCCAGTTAGCAAATCAGTTAAACAAAACCCAATTGTATCCAAATCCTAATCATTTAGCTAAACTAAAAAATACAAATTCATAGTAAAACTTACTGCCTAGGTGAATTTCCTAATAGTTTAAAATCTGACCTGGAGTTTTGTTTTCTGTCTGTTGTTGTTTTGTTTTGTTTTGTTTTTACTACTCAGGAAAATGCATCATACCTCAGTTTATAAAAGATAAAACTTTTGAGAAATCTGGTAAAATATTATTCTTCATAGCAAATCATAAATATTCTTCTAGTTAATATTCTGTGTAGTGTTCATCAAAGGCTATTGAAGAAATAAAATTGAGTATAATGATTTCCAGGAAAGGCAACTAACTACAGACCACAGTGAAATCTTGTTTCATATTTTAGTGTGGTCTACAAACTGTGGGGTTTGTTTTTTTTTTTTACATTTTAAATAGTTTTTAATAATCTAAACAATAATATTTTGTTATAACAATGATATGACATTGTAACTTCTGTGTTCATAAATAAAGTTTTATTGGATCTCAGCTCTGTCCATTCATTATCCATTGCTGCTATAATGGCAGAGTTCAGCAGCTGGAACAAAAACCAGATAGCTTGCAAACCCTGAAGTATTTACTATTTAACACTTGACAAAAAAAGTTTCCCTACCTGTAGTTTATAGGATTCTATTAAAATTCATTTTCTTGAACACAGAGATATAGAATAGTATTTAAAACATAACGTTTTGCTATCTGTAATCTTCTAAAAATATTTTAAAGGCTAATTTTTATCTTTACAATTTTAAAATAATAAATCAATTCTACATGATACTAATAACAGTATGTGTTCCCTTTTGTTCAGTTTCTTTGGCCTTACAAATAATTGACAATAGTTGAAATCTTGCTAATACAAATATTCTCTTTTAAATGAATAATGGTTACCTCAGAAATATTTCTCTGAAATAATAATTATGCTGGGTATGACATTTTGTAAACTATGGAGATATAAGGTTTCTCTAAAGGGAAGACGTGCTCTTTTTTGTTGGTGAGGCAGGAGGGCAAGAAGCTTCAAGGGGAATTAACTCCAGTGATGAGGAACTTGAGAGACAATATAACCAACTCCAAAAGTTATTGAGCACTCTGAGAACCATGGATAAGAGTTAGCAGATACACTGTGAATAAATGCTGAACAAGACAGTCCAGGAAAAGGAGATAATAAAAAGGTAATATCTGTTAAAACTCGAAGTGCTAAAGAATAATGAAAAAGGAAGATTTAAGATTCTGTAAAATGAAAAAGTTTCTTAAGAATCTGAATACTGGAGTGGAACTGCTGTGAAAAAGACAAACTAGGTGCTGAGTTGTACACTATCATGAGCACAGTGTGTGATAAATCTAGGAAGCGGTCGTAACTAGTATGAGAATGAAATTCACGCAATATTTAGTACAGTATCAGAATTCACCTTCAGTAAAATTTTGATGTGGTCAACAAATACCATAGATATGACTTACTGTGTAGGTTTGGATTCTTTCTCAAATGGAGAATAAAGTTTTATTTCTGTAATAGGAGGTTTAGAAACCCAAGCAAACATTTCTATCTATCTAACCTCAATTGATTTTAAATTTAGATTTCATGTATTTAATTTATTCATTTTTGTATACATGCCTCATGAGCTTTACATTCAGATTTGCCTTTGCTGATGTCTATAAAACCTTTAGGTGAACAAGTCACCTAAAATCCTGTGAAATGTGTTATCAGTCAAGAAATTGTATATTGGAAAGCAGTTAAATGATAGTTTTCAGGATTTGTCTCTTAAATTTCTAAAAGAAAGGTTACAACCATTATTCCCACTTACAAACTAGGTGGGATACATTTTTGAAGAGACATATTCATAAATTCAAGAAAAATGCAGATAAAAAAAGAGGAAATGAATGCAGATAAAGGAATATGAAAGGTGGAGTTATCCATTATTAATAACAAAATGATATCTGGTTATAAGTATTTTCTATGCTATTAGATAATCAATCATTGCTTATTCATGATTGAAAAAACTAGATCAGAGTAAACATGAAAAAATTCAGCTGTGAATTTCTATTGCTATAAATGAGATTAAATGAACATGATGATTTTCTCAAAAGAAGAAAACGTCATTTATCATAGGAGATGAAATCTTCCAGTTTTAATCACTGGTAGTACACATGAATATCTATTTAATTCAACACTGATTTATTTTAAAAACCTTAGTTAAACATTTGTTTAACACTTTATAACCTTACATTTATAACTTTATATTCATTATAGAATATTGTATAACTTTGAATATATAGTATTAAATCTATGTTAACAGCAAATGGTGAGTGTAAGAAAAACTTCAAGAATTTTTTAGAAGTCCTTATTCTTTCATGGATCAATCCACACAAATAAACCTATAACTATCTACTCAGACACAGGGAGAGCAACTTTTTTCCATTTTACTTCCAGAAATATCACAGAGTTTGACTCTAAAATGAAAATCTTTGATTTGAATACAATTCATTACTGAATATTTGTTGAAATTCTCAGAAGAGAGTTCTATAGAACTATTTTTTTATTTGAGGAAACTATCCTGAATTCACAGATTCCTTGAAATAAAGTGAGATTTTTTCTTTTCCATTTTTTTATTTTTAGAAGACATGGGTAGGCTATATTTGGTAGCTTTAAATTAACCTTCTGTATAACAAAGAAGAAGTAAATTAAATCTTTTTATTTCCAGTAACTAGACCCCAAATACTTATAAAATGCCCAAATAAATTATTTATATTTACATAATGGAGAGCTGAACTAAGGAAAATGAGTACTGAAATGTTATACCTTTTAGAAAATCTCAGACTCTTGCTTAGCTAGCAGCAGCTACTTAAACTCACTAATGGAATATTTTCTGTATTTACAAATGCAAAGTTTGACCTATTTAATAAAATGTGTAAAAACTGTCCACATTTTGACAAAACACTTTAATTCTGAGTGTTTTAAGTTGGGAAGAGCTTTTAATTATGCTCTCCAAAATAAAGGTAAACTTAAAAAACAAAGGAAAAGCAGATCATTTTCAGAATGACAGAATGAAGACCTTTGAAAATCCACATTTCCATAAAGCATCAAGACAACTTTCAAAAAATGTCCAGATCAATTTTTTTATTACTCTAGAAACTAACAGAAGGCTTGTGCAGTCTGCGAAATATTATGCAAGAAAACTTGCTGAATTTCATTTGACAATGAGGAGCTATATGATTTTTTAATATTCCCTAATCCCACATCTCTCTCCTTAGCTCTACATGTTAAGCTTGCAAACCAATGGTCTCTTAACTGTGGTAGCTGTGAAAACCAGTACCTTAGCGGGAAAAATAGACTTGGAACTTTCCTAAAGTCTTACACACATAAATCATCATTCTTTTGACCTAACTAGCAGCTTGCTGAAAAGTTTCATTGTCAGGATTTTCCTTTATTTGACCTAACTTAGAACCCTCTCTGCCCCATCCTCAGGATATTTGTTGAAAAAAAATAGTAGCAATTGTTTACCAATACTACTGCCTGAGGTGGTATTGCCATGTGGAGCTAATGAGAGGATTGTCAAAAACCCTAAAAGGAAACAGTGTGGATCCATAGGAGACTTTGAAAACATATTTTTGGGAATCCAGGAGGCAACATGCATAAAAAGGACTCTTCACATGTCTAGGAACTATGTGAAAAGGTCTTAATCTCTTATCTCTGGCTGAACTTTAGGTTCCTTGTAAGTATGAAGTGAAGGCTAAGACACAGTTGTAATCCCTCTGCCAGAGCATTGAAGATGTGCTCCAAAATACAGAGAGGCCTTCAGCAAAGGCTGTGAACTGATTGGTTCAAAAAAATTAAGTACATCTTTGTCAAATCATTAATTGACCGCTAAGCTAACTGAACAGTGACTTATTAGCTAGAGACAAAAAGGAGTGCAAATTTGAAAATTTTAAAGAATTTATCTAGGAAGTCACAAAATAAACCAACAATAAAAACAGCAACAAAAGTTGGCCCTGGGCAAAGGGAATCACATTTCCCTTTATGTTATTTAAAATCTCTAGTTGTTTACAATAAAATATGAAGCATGCAAAGAAATAGGAAAGTATGGCCTATATTCAGGGAGAGGAGAGCAGTCAATAAAAACTATTTTTCAGGAAGCCCAGATATTGGACTTGGACTTTATGTTTGCTATTATACAAATAACTAAAGGAAACAATGTCTAAAGAATTAAAGGATTTTTTTTCTCTGCTTCTGAGCCCTCTGCTGCAACCATGCCCCATCACATCATCAGTCAGACCAAGAAGCATCCAATCTTGATCACCATCTTTGTATTTATTGGAGCTGTAGGTACAGGGAAAGTGCTGTGTGTCATGTGCCTGGCATTGTTCAATCCAGATGTCCGTTGGGACAAAAGGAGTAACCGAGAACCCTGGAATAAGCAGGGTCCCAAAGAACAATATAAATTCTACTTAATGACTATAGATTACAGCAGACTGAAGAAAGAAGGTCCAGACATCTAAATGACATATTTCCCTATAAAGCTCCTTAGAATGAAGGTCTTCCAGGAGACATCTGCACAATTTCCCACTTAACCAGGAAATACTTACTCCCCAAATGCATGAAATCATGTTGGTGTATTCTGTTAGGGTTTACACTGACTAATAAATATTTGAAACTTGAAAACAAAGAATTAAAAGAAACTATGAGAACAATGTCCCAACAAAAAGGGAAGAGTAATAAAAAGACATGACTTACAGGACAAATAGCAATTTTAGAATTGAAAAGTACACTAACCAAAATGATAAACTTATTACAGAAGTTCAACAGTAGATTTGAACTGACAGAATAAAGAATCAGTAAAGTTGAAAACAGGTTCATTGAGATTCCCCAGTATAAGCAACAGAAAAGAAAAAAAAAAATAAAGAAAAAGATGAAGAAGCTTTAGAGAGTCTAAAAAACTGTCAAGGATATTAACATATCCATATGTTAATATGGAGAATTCTAAAAAAAGAAGAGAAAAATACAGACAGAAAATTTGAAGAAATAATGGCTGAAAAATTTCCAAATTTGGTAAAAAATACTAATATGATGTACAGGAAGATCAAACAACTTCATCACATACATGGTGTCCTTAATAAGATCAACAAATGAATCTCATCAAAAATCGTGGAGGCCAACATAATGAGATGAAATATTCAAAATGCTGACTGAAAAAGATAATTATGAATTAAAAATTCAGCAAAACTATCCTTCAAAAAATAAAGAAGAAATTAAGACAAAAGCAGAAAATAACAATTTAATAGTAATGGTTAGAGACTTAAATACCAACTTTCAATAAAAGATAATTAATATTACAGACCAATTAGACCTCCATAAACACTCAACACAACACTGGACTATACATTCTTCTCAAGGCACATCGAACAGCTTTTATGATAAAACATATATCAGGCTATAAAGAAATCACAGTTTTTTTAAAAAAATTAAGTCATATATAAAATATATTCTCTGACCACAATATAATAGATTTAAAATGATTATTAAAGGGAAATTTGGGAAAGTCACAATAATACAGTATATTTTTCTTTTATTTTACATAACCAATGTTACAAAAATGAAATGAGAAAGGAAATTAGATACTATTGAAATTTATAACTATAAATGTACTTGAAAAATAAGACAGGCTTTAAATTAATAGCTTAGTCTTCCACTTTATGACTAGAAGAAGAAAAGCAAATTGAATTGAAAACAATCAGAAGGAAGCAAATAATAAGGATTAGTGTGGAAATATGTGAAAGAGAGAATAAAAAAAATCAAGAAAACAAAAAGTTGGTTCTACGAAAAATTCAACAAATTTGATAAAACTTTAGCTTGATTAACTAAGAAAACATAGAAGACTCAAATTACTAAATATTAAGAATAACAAAAGAGACATCACTACCAACCTTACAAAATAAAAAAAAAAAAAGATTATAAGCAGAAGGACAAATGCATGCCAACAAATTAGGTAAGCCAGATAAAATGGACAAATTTTTAGAAAGACAAAACTTCCCAAATTAACTCAAGAAAAAATGAAGAAGTCTGAATAGACCTCTAACAGATAGATATTGAATTAGTAATGAAAAATGTTTATACCAAAAAAAAATTTGCAGGCCCAGATATTTTCAGTGGTGAATTTCCACCAAACATTTTAAGTATTAACACCAACATTGAAAGTAAAAATAAACCAACAGAATCAAGAAGGGAGGAGGGAGTGGGGGGGCAAGGAAATGGAAGGGAAAGGTCAAGTCAAGGAACATGTATAAAGGACCCATGGCCAAAGCCAAAGTGGGAAAGGATTGAGGGAGGGAAGTTGGGGAGGGGATCAGGGGAAAGTAGTGGCAGGAAAATGTAGGCAAATATATTTGAACAATAAAAAAATAAAACATAAATAAAGTATTAACACCAGTCTTTCACAAATAATTTCATAAAGTAAAAGAGGAGAGAAGATTTTCCAAGTTACTCTATGAGGTTGTTAATCTGATACAATAACCAAAGAGATCGTAATTAAAGAAAGTTAAAGACCAATTCCCTTTATATATATATAGATGCTAAAAATCTCCACAAATACTAGCAAAATTAATAACAACATATAAAAAGACTTGCATACCATGACCAAGTGAGATTTATCTCAAGAACGTAAAGTTTACTAAACCTATGAAAATGAGCCAAATCAATGTAACCTCCTGTATTAAGAAGAGCAAAAACAACATGGTAATCTCAATAGATGCAGAGAAATTGTTGCATAAAAACAACATATATTAATATTGCAACAATCAACAAACTAAGAAGACAAGGGAACTTCCTCAACATAAGAAAGTCCATCTACAAAATACCCACAGATAACATCACACTTATTGGTGAAAGACTAATACTTCTCCTTAGAATAAAGAACAAAAGAAGTATGCATGCTTGCACCATTTCTAGTCTACATTGTACTGAAGATTCTAGGCAAGGAAATTAGGCAAAAAAGAAAAAAAGGAAAGAAAAGGCACTTAGGTTGCAAAGAAAGTGGTGAATCTACTTGCAGATGACATTAAATTGTGTTTTGAAAATCCTAAGGATTATAGAAAACACCAAAAAGTTATTAGAAGTAATAAATATGCTCAGTGAGGTTGTAGAATATTAACCAATTCACAGAAAACAACTGAATTTCTACATACAGCTATTGAACAATCAAAAAAGTAACTTAAGAGAACAATTACATGTATAATAGCCTCAATAGAATAAATAATTAAGAATAAATTTTATTCGAGTATATTTAACATAAAGTATTATTCTAGTTTCAAATATACAACATATTCAACATTTGTTACCTAATGAATTGATCACCATGATAAGCCTAGTAACAGCCTGTCATCTGTAAACTGGTCTCCTTGATATTTTAAGTGCCCATTTGGTACCATACATATTTATTACAATATCATTGGCTATATATCTTATGCTGAAAATGCTGAACTTTATATCCCTGTGACTATTTTTTTTTATTTAATTAATTTATTTACTTTTTAAATACATTTGTCTCTGCCTTCCCCCCCTCTTTCCCTTGCCCCCTCCCACCTTCCCTCCCTCAGCTCTTCCCCTTTGGTTTTGTCCATGAGTCCTTGCTATATGTTCCTTGACTTTCCCCTTCCCTTCCCTTTCCCTGCCCCCCCTTCCCTCTTGTCTCTGTTGATTTCTTTTCCTTTCAGTGTTGCTGGTCATATTTGCCTTGCTTCTTTGCATTGTTGGTTAGGTTCCGCTTATAGGTGAGATCATATGGTATTTGTCTTTCGCCCCCTGGCTTATTTCGCTTAGCATGATGCTCTCCAGTTCCATCCATGCTGTTGCGAAGTTTAGTACTTCTTTTTTCTTTCTGCTGCGTAGTATTCCATTGTGTATATGTACCATTACTTTTTGATCCAATCATCTACTGATGGGCATTTAGGTTGCTTCCAACACTTGGCTATTGTAAATTGTGCTGCTATGAACATTGGGGTGCATAGGTTCTTTTGTATTGGCGTTTTGGTGTTCTCAGGGTATAGTCCCAGCAGGGGAATCGCTGGATCAAAAGGCAGTTCCATTTTCAGCTTTCTGAGGAAATTCCACACTGCTTTCCATAGCGGCTGCACCAGTCTGCATTCCCACCAACAGTGGACTAGAGTTCCCTTTTCTCCACAGCCTCGCCAGCACCTGTTGTTTGTGGATCTGTTTATGATGGCCATTCTGACCGGTGTGAGGTGGTACCTCATGGTGGTTTTGATCTGCATTTCTCTAATGGCTAGTGATGCAGAGCATCCTTTCAAATGCCTCTGGGCCCTCTGTATCTCCTCCTTAGAAAAGCATCTGCCCAGGTCCTTTGCCCATTTTTTGATTGGATCGTTTGTCTTCTTGGAGTCCCTGTGACTATTTTGTGACTACAAATTTGTACTTCTGAATCCTTTCACCTTTTTTACCCATCTTTCCAACCCCTTTTCTTCTCTGGCAACCCTGAGTCTGATCTCTGTGTCTGAGTCTGTTTCCACTTGTTTGTTGGTTTATTTTGCTCTTTAAGTCCCATATATAAGTGAAATTATATGATATGGAAACTTTACTTAACCTTCAATTCTTAATGGTGATTTTTACAGGTAGAAGATTCCTGGTAGTAAGTTCTTTCCTTTTACCACTTTAAACATATCATGCCACACCTTTCTGGACTACAAAGTTACTAACAAAAAATCATAGGGGTTGTTTTCTTTCTTACTGCTTTTAAGATTCTCCCTTGCCCTTAACTTTTGACATTTTAATTTTGATGTTTCATATTGTGGGGCTCTTTGAGTTCAAAACTGATGCCCACCAGCACCCAGCCAGTGTGGCGAAAGTGAGTAAAACAAAAAAAGGAGAAATGGTGCCCTCCAGCACTTCTGTCTTTGGAGAAAGTTCCAGCTACCTCCCCAACACATGCCCTAAAATTACTCAATGAATCTTCACACATATGACTCAGGCACTTTAAAACTGCTGCCTCTACACTGGGACTCAGAATGAGTGTTTGTTTACAGGTCCTTTAAGGGTGAAGTTTCAATTTCCTATAGCCCTTCAGCTAAAACCAGATGTTTTGGGGGCTTCTTTTCCTTGGCAGGGTAATCTGATGTGAGGCTTGAACCATTAGCTCTTCAGGGGGAACCCATGAAACCGGTCCTGCTTGTGAAACTGGAATGTGAGCCCTGACTAGATCACACCTCTGCCCTTCTTACCCACCTCTATGTGATTTTTTCCTTATATCCTCAGTTGTAGAAAATCTGCTCAGCTAGTATTCAGGTAGTTCTTAAAGATAATTGTTCTATATATAGTTATAGTTTTGGTATGTTCATGGGAAGTGGTAACCCCAGGGTCTTCGTACTCTGCCATCTTTACTCTGTCTCATCAGAATAAATTGAACCAAGAGGTGCAAGACCCAAACACTGAAAAATACAAAAAAATACTAAAAAAATTAAAGAAGTCATGGATTAGAAGACAATATTGT